AAGTCCCCTGGGGTTAATCCTGCTTCGTACCCACCAGGACCCCTCCTTGAGGTGGTCTGATGCAGTCACAAAGGACATTTTACAAGATCCAGGTGGCTGGTGAAGAGATTCCTAAGATGAGGTCGGGAAGGGTCCCCAGCTCAGGAGTTCTGTCCTGTGGAATAGGGGTCACTTCCCTCTTGGCTCATGAACCTGTTCTGCTTACTTTCCTGGAAGCCTCCTCTGCTCTGCAAGCTTCTCAGACCCAGAGAGGGACTTCATGACATAGGCACAAGTGACTGAATCATTGGTCTTAGCCCTCTAGTCTACCTGTCTTCTGGGGGACCTGCTTTAACCTGAAGCCACTTAGGGGTGCCAGCCCTCAGCTACTCATTAGCATGAACAAAACCACCATTGTTTATAGATTCTATGGGACTTCAGAGGGGTATGCTAGGAAATGGGGATGGATACTAAAGGAACATTTCCCCATGTGACACTGGTGCTCGAGGATTCCAGGGACAGAGTGGTGGGCTGTGGGGTCCTGTCCACAGACAGCAGTCCCATAGACATCTCTCTCTTTATATTGGTCTTCTGGATAAAAAGAAGGGGCCCAGGGCCCCCAAAGCTAGTGATGATGTTCTGTTTCTTAGCCATATATGAATTTTGGTGATGTGTATGGGGTGTTATAAATGAAAGCAATCCTGGACACAAGTTACAAGAGAGTTTATCTACAAATTCCAGATTTTGAAGCAAAATGCCTTTAAAAGTATTTGCCTTTCAAATCATTATTTTCTAATAACATCATAAATTTTAATAGTAGCCCAGATTATTTTGTTTTTGGGGGGCATTGTTAAGGCAGAACATGTTTAAATCTTGCAAAGAAATTCTTTGACTTGCCAGGAACGGGGAGAAATATATTTCTGCTTTCGTGAAAACTGAAGGCAACTCTCATGGTATTTCTACCCAAGTCAGAGGATTTGGAATCCAGAAGTCCTGGGCCCAGTGACATCTCCCTTAAATTATGGCTGAACCACAGAGTACCTCTGCAAAGTGGAAGATGAATGCCAGGCACTTGATGGGGTTCTCAAGGCTCCTTCCTTCACATGTGTAGTTAGATTCCTCGGGAAAGCATCTCTGCTCCATGCTGAAGCATTCCCCAGGGCTATGTATCATTCCTTAGCTATCACCCCCATGTAACCCAAACGTGGAGTTTCCCCTGACCTCATTACAGATTCAGATGTCTGCTGAAATACTTGTCAACAAGTGCTTTTGATTTTATAACTCAATGTGCCCTTGAGGGGTAGGACTCAGCTGGAGGTGGATCACTGGAGCGTGCCTTGGAGGACACAGAGCTCTTCCCCATGGGCACTGCTCCTGGCCCTAGGAAGTGAGCAGTTTTGCTCTGCCAGGTCCTTCCACCATGATGTTCCTGCCTTGGAGCCAATCAGCCATGGACTGAACCCTCTGAAACCATGAACCAGGTCAAACTGCTCCTCTTTTAAATTGTGAGTATTAGGTATTGTGTCTCACTGACAGAAAAGCTGACTAACACAGTCTGAGTCCTGAGAACTTTGGGAAGGAGATTTCTGTCTCAACCTCATCAGTCATAATCCACAAATGAGTGAGAAGAGTTTCCTGGAGACAAAGCTCAGTGGGCAGAAGGCTGTCCTAAGACAGACTGCTAGCAGAGAGATCATGCCAAGATCCCTGGGAAAAAATCTGCAAAGACTGTTCACACTGTTCACACTTGCAGCTGCCTGGCAGATTCTCTTGGGACACTAGAACCAGAGACAGTGGTTGGCAGGTAGAACTTTGGCCACCTTAGACCCTGACATTCTAGGTGAATCTCACTCTATGGAAACTTAATATACAAATGGAAACTTACTTTGCAAATTCATGTGTTGACAGAATGTAGAGTGGGGCTTTGGGAAGAAATGACAATCAGATGGGGTCATGAGGTAAGGGTCTCTATGATGGCATTTGTGTGTTTGAAAGGAGGGGAAGAGACATAAGAGCTAGCTGCTCTGGGTCACCTGTGTAGAACTCTACATTTCTCCCAAAATGAAGTCCTTCACTAAACACAGTCCCTAGCCTTGGACCCCAGAATTATCAGCCAAATGAACCTTTCTTCTTCATAAATCACTTGGTGTGTGTTATTAAATTATAGCAACAGAAAACAGCTAAGAGCCTGGTTAGAAATTTGGAAGCAGTGCTGCTCAATGGGCTGGCACAGGACTATGAAAACTGACATAACCTGGGGCCTCCAGGCTGCACCTGTGCAGAAAAGACCTGGGCGGGGGAAGCCACTAGCCACTTACCTCTGCCTGACCATGAGGCCCCACATGACCTGGACACTGCCTCCTCGCATGCCTTCCATGGAAAAGGGTGGGACAAGTATCGGCCCTGCATGCAGCTCTGACCAACTTGTTACAGGGACTCAGTGTGAGGCCAAGGAGTCAGGACTCCAAAATAGCAAGAGCAAGGAAAAAGCAGACAGAAAAAGCAGGCAAAGAACTTAGTAGCAGTATACCACACTGAACATAGAATCTAAATTTTAGCAGAAAAGTCTAAAAAAAAACCAGCAAGAAGAAAACCCAACAACAAACCAGCAACAAAAAGCATAATCTTGAAGGGGGCTTCTGGTATGGAAGCTGTGGCATTAGAGTAACAGTGAAGAGAGAGAGGCCGGCAGATGCAGGCAGGGGTGTGGGTCCAGACAGACCTGGACAAGCGTGACACAGGCAAGGTCACAGCAAGGACCAGCGGGCTTGGGGAGACTGTAGGGATTCTCCAGTTCTCATGGAACAAAAATCTTAAAGGAGCTAAGAGAACAACTCGCCACCAGAACAGTGGTCCTGACAGTGAATTTCTCATCCAAAACAACAGGGGCCAGGAGGGCAGTGTTTCATTTATTTAAACCATTCATTTATTTATCACACATTTTGTATGTGAATTGAGCTGACACACTATGCCTTGTACAGATATACAAATACTATAGTCAATTGAAAATGTAAAGAGTTCAGTAGTTGAGATGCTATGCTAATTAGCTTGACTTAATCATGCTACAACAGACACACATCCTGACAAACTGTATGCAATTAATATATATAACCATTATTTGTCAATTAAAAACTATACAAATATATTTACTTAAGATATGATTTACACACCACAGCACTCACACTTTGAGAGTGTGTGGTTCATTCTTTGAAAATATGAACGTATCCTAAAATTCATGTGCAAATGCGAGGAACACATTGTAGCCAAAATAATACTAAAAATACCTAAACTGAGCCATGCAGTACAGTGGTTAGTAAGTTCTAAGGCAGTCCTCTTTACTATTAACCCTAGAATATGGACTCTACCCTTGAGAGCAACCCCACACCCCCTAGCACTCACTGCTAATTCCTCTCTCTTCCTACTCTCTGGCAGTCACTAATCTACTTTTAACTCTGAACTCATGTTCTGAACATTTTATATAAATGAGATCACATAATATGTGGCCTTTGGTATCTGGCTCCTTTCCCTTAGCATAACATTTCAAGGATTTTTATTTACATTGTCCCATGCTGATGCTGTGCTTCATTTCTTACTATGGCCGAATACTATTCCAGTGGATGGAAACAGTGCATTTTGTCTACATTGTCATTGACTGATACACATGGGGGTTGTTTCCACTCTTTGTCCATGATGGGTAACCCTTCTAAGAACATTCAGGTAAATGTTTTTGTGTGAATGTTTATTTCCATTTCCCTCGGGCATGTAATCAGGAGTTGGATTTCTGGCTCATATGTAATCCTGTCTCCACGTTCAGCATTTTGAGAAACTGCCAAACTTCTTTTCCAGGAGACAGCACCATTTCCATTCCCACCAGTGATGAATAAGGATTGAAATCTCTTTATATTCTCTCAAGCACTTTTTTATTGTCTATCTCTGTTATTATTATGGCTATCTGAGTCATGTGAGTCATTTTGGTTTTGATTTGAAATTCCCTAAAGATTAATGATATTGACTTTAACGTGTTTACTGGCCATCTGTACATCTATTTTGGAGAAAGATTTATTCAAATCCTCTGCCCATTTTTAAGTTGAGTTTTATTGAGTTGTGTTCTTTATATATTCTGGGTACAAATCCCCTGTCAGATATATGACTTGCATATATTTTTCCTACTGTATGGGATTTCTTTGCCTTTGAGGCATACACATTTTAAATTTTGATAGAGTAGTTTACCCACTTTCACTTTGGTTTTCTTTGGGTATCATGTGTAAGAAATCATTGCCTAATCCAAGCTATAATTATTTATACCTCTGCTTTCTTATAAGAGTTTCATAGCCTCTGCTCTTACATTCAGGTATTTCATTCATTTTGAATTAAATTTTATATGTGGGACAAGAATTCATCTTCATTCTTTTCCATGCAGTATCCAGTTGCCCTGGCACTCCTTGTTAGAAGACTGTCCTTTCCCCCATTGAATGGTCTTGGCACCTCTGGTACACCGACAGCAAAAGTGAGGGCTCATTTCTGAACTCTCAGCTCTATTCCATGGGTCATTGTCTGTCCATATGCCATTTCCACATTGTTTCATTTACTGATCTTTGTAGTGAATTTAGGAATAGTCAAGTGAGTTTTCCATCCGTGTTAGTTACTTTTCTCTTTGTACTGAGACAAAATACCAGACACCCAAAGTTAAAGGGGAAGGGGTTTATCTGGCTTACTGTTTGTAGAAGCTGACTCCAAGGCAGGAATGACAAACAAGCATGGCAGAGCAGAAACAACATGGTGCACACAAGGCAGCAAAGGTGCCACTTTTGTTTTATTCACACTACTTAGGGCAGGTAGCACTCGCACCCTTAAGCCTAGTGCACTTGAGCCTAACATTGCATCATGAATCAATTCCAGCTTTACATACTGTAGATCAATCCTATGACAACATAAGGCTTTGGGGGGATTTCTAGACCAAAACCGTAACACCAGCTTTCCTATTTTTAGGATCATTTTGGCTATAATGGATCCCTTATATTTGCCACTTTGTAGCCACCTTGGCTAATGGGATGAGCCTCCAGCTGCCCCTTGAAGAAGTTTCCTATGGCCAGGTGGAAAGCAGTGAGAGGCCTAATGCTGAGGACATGACATCCAAAGATTACTACTTTGACTCCTATCCCCACTTCGGCATCCATGAGGAGATGCTGAAGGATGAAGTGCAGACCCTCACGTACCGCAACTCCATGTTTCATAATCAGCACCTCTTCAAGGACAAGGTGGTGCTGGATGTGGGCTCAGGCACAGGGATCCTCTGCATGTTTGCAGCCAAGGCAGGGGTCTGGAAGGTCATCGGGATGGAGTGTTCCAGTTTCTCTGATTATGCTGTGAAGATCATCAAAGCCAACAAGTTAGACCACATGGTTGCCATCATCAAGGGGAAGGTGAAGGAGGTGGAGCTGCCGGTGGAGAAGGTGGAAATTATCATTAGTGAATGGATGGGCTACTGCCTCTTTTATGAGTCCATGCTCAACACTGTGCTCTATGCCCCTGACAAGTGGCTGGAACCAGATGGCCTTATTTTCCCAGACGGGGCCACGCTGTACGTGAGGGCCATCGAGGACCAGCAGTACAAAGACTACAAGATCCACTGGTGGGAGAACGTGTATGGCTTTGACATATCCTGCATCAAGTACGTGGCCATCGCGGACCCCCTCGTGGACGTGGTGGACCAAAGCAGCTGGTCACCAGTGCCTGTCTCATAAAGGAGGTGGACATCTACACCATCAAGGTGGAAGACCTCACCTTTACCTCCCCGTTCTGTCTGCAAGTGAAGTGGAACAACTATGTGCACGCGCTGGTGGCCTACTTCAACATCGAGTTCACGCGCTGCCACAAGTGGACTGGCTTCTCCACCAGCCCCGAGTCCCCGTACACGCACTAGAAGCAGACAGTGTTCTACATGGAGGACTACCTGACAGTGAAGACAGGCGAGGAGATCTTCGGCACCATCGGCATGTGGCCCAAGGCCAAGAACAACTGTGACCTGGACTTCACCATCAACCTGGACTTCAAGGGCCAGTTGTGCGAGCTGTCCTGCTCCACTGATTACCAGATGCACTGAGGTGGCGCTCAAGACCTGTGGCATCCTTAGGCAGTTTTTGGGTCCCCCTTCCTCTCCCACAGATGGGGATTTTAGGGGCATGGGCTGGGGGAAGGGGGAGGGCAATCGTGTTTTTCATAACTTATGCTTTTATATGGTTGCATTTATGCCAATAAATCCTCAACTGGGATGGGGAGGCATGAATTTTAGGATGTGTTCATATTTGCAAAAAAAAAAAATCTTAAAAATCCAGCTAATAGTTTTGATAAAGTTGTATTTAATCTATAGATTAATTCAGTAAATAGTGTCATATAATGATATGAAGTTCTTTAATCCATATGCACAGGATATATTTATATTTAGGTCTTTAATTTCTTTCAGCATTTTGTAGTTGTATTAGTATTTTATATGCTTGTCCTAAGTAGTACTGATTATTCTTTTTAATGCTATTGTAAATTAAACTGTGTTTTTAATTTAGACTTTCAATCTTTTCATTGCTAACATGTAGAAGTACAACTAATTTTTGTACATTGGTCTTGTATCCTGCAATCTTTCTGGACTTGTTGATTAGTTCCGGGAGTTTTCTGGGTAGACTCTTAGGGATTTTCCATGAGGACAATTAAATAGTTACGTCACCTAACAGAGGTAAAAATGTTCATTCCTTCCCTACTCTGCTACCACCTCTCTCCACTGTCCAGAACTTCTGCCATTTGAGAATAAGAACACTGAGAATGGATTCTCCTGACAGGCTCCTCATAGTAAGGCAAAAGCATTCATCCCCTTATCATTGCACAGATGTTTTTCTTTTTCAGAAAGTTGTCTTTGGTGGAATGTTTTTATTATGAAAAAGACACAGTAATTTGGTAGTCCAGGAAGAAGAAGAAGAAGAAGGAGAAGGAGAAGAGGAAGAGGAAGAAGAGGAAGTGGAGGAGAAAGAAGAAGAAAACACTGAAATTCTATGTCCAGCAAAGCTGTCTTTAGGAATGAAGTTAACAGGAAAAGTAAAACCAAAAGAACTTGTACTACAGTACTACTTGTACATGTTGGCCTAAAGGAATTCTTTAAACAACAAGTAAATGATAAAATAAAGACTCTGAAATCATTGGGGAGAAAGAAGAAATATGAAAGGAGCAGAAATACAATAGAGTATCTTTTTTGCATGTTTTATAAATTATATTTGGTGATTGAAATGAAAATATAACTGTTTTTCTGTGGCACTATTCATCTGTGTCTGTCAGCTGAGGGAGGCATAACGAGAGTAAGGTGCATGTTCAAGGGAACCCTGTGCAGTCACGGAGAAGAATGGCAACCTATGTTCACAAGCACACAGAAGGGCCTCAGTTAGTTATGTTACGTGAGTTAGGCTGGACCCAGGAGACACATAACAAACACATGGTCTCACTCGTGTGAGGAACCTGGAGAAGGTGAAAGGAGGGTAGCGGCTCCTGAGGCCAGGAGAGTGGTGAGGGAGGGATGGCCAAGGCTGGTCAGTTAGATGGAAGCAAGGAGTGCTGGGAGCTGGTGCACAGCCAGTGTCTACAGATGAGGATGATGTGCTGTGTGCTTCAAAGAGATGGAAGGAGTTTCAAAGCTCTCAGCATGAAGAAATGACAAATGCTTGAGGGAGTCAATATGTTTAACCTGATTTAAACATTGCACAAGCTGGGCACGGTGGTACATGCCTTTAACCTCAACTCTCTGGAAGGCTAAGGCAGGAGAATCACAAATTTGAGCCCAACTTAGTACTTAGTGAGATCCTGGCTCAGAATTAAAAAAAGATCTGGTGGGGCAGGCATTTAGCTCAGTGGTTTTGCCTCCTGCCTTGCCAGTGTAAGGTCCTAAGTTTGATCCCCAGTACCAAAAAATAAAAAATAATTTTTTAAAAAAGATCTGGGGGTATGTCTCAATGCAGAAGGCTCCAAGTTCAATCCCCAGCACCACAAAAACAAAAAATTTAAAATTATACAATGTAAAGATGAATCAAAACATTGCATGGAATCCTATATATATTTATGTGTTCCTGTATCAATTATTACATACATTTAATTTTTTTAAAAGAAATAAACATGGAGAAAACAAAACACCCTAAATGGAAGGGGTGTTTGGTATCCATGTGTCACCCAGAGTCATTACTACTAAACTATCCCAGTGATGTACATCAGAGCTCCAAGCAGCCACTGTGAAACCAGACAGACAGAGGTGCAGTTCAAAATACTATAAGTAAAGCAAGACTGAACCTTTGCAGTGACTCACAGGATGGCAAGGACTTTTGAAACTTGAAGGTCCTTGTGTGTAGGCTTGGTCCCTCCCCTGCCTGTGGTGTTATTGGGAGGAGGTAGAGCCTGTAGGGGTTGGGGCCCAGTGGGAGGAAGTGAGGTCATTGAGGTGTGGCTTCGGCAGAGACACAGGGACCTGTCTTTCTCTCCCACTCTGCCTCCTGGCCACTATGAGGCTCCTGTGTAATGGGGGCTTAATGGCTGTGGACAGAAACCTGGTGTCCAGTTGGAGGCTGGGGTCCAGCCTGGGGTCTGGTGTGTACCAGGCCACCAGCATAGTTGGAAGTCCTCTGGGCTGTCATTCTGGGTAAGAGCTACTTCTTTCCAAAAGCACCCTGGGCATGAGAGTGAGGGTGACTTGCTGGCAGCCTTTCTTCAGCCCATTGAGTCCTTCCAACATGCCAGGCACCTGCTGGAAACATGGTCAGGACACCCTGAGCTTGAGCCTGAGACACAGCTCGGCACCCAGAGGTGCACCCAGGAGGACCAGGTGCCCAGAGAACACTGTTCTGGGGGAAGGGGCAGAGAGTGAGGTTTCCCTGAAAGGATTCCTGGGATGGAATCCCAGTGGCTAGGTTTGCCAGGCCTTGCTCAGCAAGAGCTCCAGGGTGAGTTGCTGACCCCCTTGGGTCTGACTTCCAGGCTTCACTCTGCACAGGCCCAGTATGGATGGCGGGGGGGGTCCTTTCCTGGGCAAGGCCAAGTCCCTCGTGTATTCAGTGACACTGCCTTCTTACAGACACTGTGAAAAGGCCTCCCTATTTTACAGCTGTATGATGAGGACTCAGGGAAGGCGGTGTGGGTGTGGAAGAGTGGCTGATGAGAGGGGGGATCGTGGGGAGGTAGTGGAGTGGGATCTCCTTGCTGAAAACGGGCAGCTCCTGGATGTTAGGTAGACAGGATAGAAGATCCTGATAGGAAAGGGATTCCTGGGGTCTCTGGGGGCAAGGGTCACATCCCAAAGAGTTTGGAAGCCACCCTTCCTGCCCAAAGCATTGTCATCATGACCCAGCTGGCTCTGTCCTGCCACAGTTTTCCTCAAGTCCCCCATGCAGGATGCAGGAGAATGTCAAAAGTCATCTGAAGACAAGGCTGTGCTGCATGTGGTGCTAACCCTTGTGTGGGGGGCTGGTGGCTCTGATTCTGGCAACAGCCACACCTCATATGTCTGAGCTTCTGGCAGCTACTCCAAAGGTCTGGAGACAAAGGTGAGGCTGAAGCCTCAAGTTGTTTACTACTCACTTTCCAGGCTAAGATTCAGGGCTGAGCATCCAAGACCAGGGGTTTTACAAGGGTCTACAGGCTTCTCGACACAGGCTGAGACTCGGGGCGGAAACTCTAGATGCTTTGCTAACAAAGCCAAACATCTGGATACTTAGAAAAAACAATTTTTAATGGAGCTTCTCGGGTTTCTTGGGTGTTTGGCCCATGCAGTCACACATATGCAGGGTGGCATAGAAGCCACATGGGTTTGCACACTTGACGATGTTGGACTAGAACAGCCGAGAGGAGGGTTAAGGTCTTCACTCTGTGCTTCTGGGCAATGATGACAGTGCATTTGCTATTGCACAGTGCTCTGCACTGCACTGATAATGGCTTGGGTGTGACAAATACGGGGCCTCTAAGGAGGTCCGCATGGATTAGCACACAGCTCCCCTCTCATTCAATCCTGGCGCATCTCAGGCTTTCCGTAACTCCAGCTGAGGAGTGGTATTTCCTCACAGTTCTGTGTAATGAGTGTTCCCAGGGCATGTGTCCTGTGACACCCAGGGTAATTAGGAGTGAGTGCCCGTAGACCCGGCTCCAGTGACTTCACTGGAGTTTGTTACCTCCAGGCTGTGGAGCAGTAGGGCCAATGGGGCTGGGATTGGGAGCTGGTGTGGACCATTTCCAAGGAGAGATGATGCAAAGAGGATGGAGGACACCATGCCTGGAGCCTTGGATGCTCACAAACATGTGGCTGCTGGCTCTGTGCCATCCATGGAGCATGGGAGGGGGAAGGCAGCACATTGCACGGTGTGAGTGAACGCAAGAGTCCAAACGCACACAGAGGCTGGAGAGGAAGCACCCTGGGTCAGCTCTGCTCTGCCCCAGGACATCTGGTCCCCCTTTCGGTATCCCTGTGGTGGAGACAGCAGGGATTATGAGAGACACTGCTGGGCCCTTTCCCCAATGCATCCTCCTTCTGATTATGGCTTTTATATGTTTGTTTGAACAAGTGAAAGGACATTTTATAACCAGGAGATTCTGGTTAGTCGTTCCTCAAGGTCTCCTAAACCTGAAATGACCTGAGTGAGAATATAAAGTCCCCGTCTCAGCCTTTGGTCCATCCGAAGCAGGCTTGGTTTGTATGCAGCCTGATACGGTATCTTGGGTCCAGGGTGGTCAAAGCCCATGGCTGGGTTCCCCGCCTCAACAGACAACGCACACTTGTCCATGGACTGAGCTGGGGGAGCGATGCCCCTCTGCCTCATTTGGCTCTCTCCAGCACTTTGGAATGAAAAGATGACCCTTGCTTTGTCCTTTTAACTTTGGCAGGCACATTTGGTCCTAAGTCTCTCTGGATTGCAACCCAAGCCCAGTTCTGCTACTGGACGAGTTGGCTACTTGGGTATTTTTTCGTCTTGGTCACCACCGGGCTGGTTGCTGCCATCACCTCATTTCACAGGTTGCCCCTCTTTTTTTTCCATCAGCCTGCTTGCAGCACCCTACCTGTATATCCTGGAGTCCTAAAACTAAGCAGCT